ATGATCAGAACTAAGTCTGTTGGAATACATATGCACTATTAAAACCACATTAAAGAGTAAAAAATCAAATCTTAGGCCATACAAATTCTAAGTATTTTAAGTTGTTTCACCTATTAGGATTTAGCATTTATGTAGTTTTTCACTGTGCAGTTTAATGTTATTTTTCAAAACCAGTGTCAGTGACCACCAAATGCATATTGCTAGGAGTTTGTATTTGAATGTGTTTATCAGCGGTATCTGAAAACTAACTTGCATTTCTATGAAGGATATAGAAATTAGAAAGGATTTTTGGTTAATATCAACATAGTATTTAGAATTTCTAATTTTTAAATAAAAATGCATATTTAAAACCATAAAAAAAGAACAAATCTACTATTATTTAAAGAGTACCCTAAATGTTTCCAAACTAACTACTAACTGGTAAAGTATTGTCACCTAGAAGTATTTTTCTTTATTAGAAGTCTAATACTAATACAAATGTTTTATTAATCTTAGAAATAAAGACAATCAGCCTATAAAGCATAAGTTTCATCTCCAATGAGGGCACTAAAACATCAATACAAAAGAAAATAACTTCTCTTTAGGAGACTGGCTTATGGACAGTACTATTTGTTATGATGTAGACTGTTGTAACAGACTCATTTCAAAACCATATACAATACTTAATAAGAAATATAAACCAGACAAAAAGGACAAACTACAAAGTATTATCAAAACTTGTTTTATTTTCAATACAAGATAAATATCATGCTTGTTACTAGTGCAGTTTAAGGCCGACAATAGCCATATAGCAAACTGCTGAACAGTCACCTAAAATGCTAAAGGAAGAAAGGACAAAGTAAACATTAAACACAAAATTGCAATTACAAACATTTTCAATAAAATAGGAATAAGCTTTTCAAAAAAAAGCTAATATGGAAGTCTGGTTCTGATGGACATCAAAAAGTTTTACCTATTTGAGCAAATATCCTCTTACCTTTTGCACAGAACTTATTATGAAGTCATCATAGTCAATAGCTAGAATTCTGACTTTCTTTGGTCTTTTGATATTAGACAAATTATTTACAAAGTGATTGGCAATTCATGGATATTTGTAATATGACACATTTTGTTGTTGCTGTTAAGGGCTTTCCATTAAAAATTGTAAAACAACTCTATAAGGCTGTACTGGGTTGTAAACTACCTTGCTAATATACCACGGGATGCAGAATAAGAAGGAATAGACCTTTCTTAAGGCTAAAGTCATCAATGTTATAGATGTTTTCCTTAAAATATATTATGATTCACCCCAAAGGATTTTTTCCCATTAAATACCACCTGAGTACTACTTTTTTCAAAGTAAAAAAATAAGATGAATTTACCATCACATTTAAAAATAATTTAGCTTATAGAATGCTTAGAAGTGTCATGGAATAACAGTGCAACAAAGAATACACCTTCAAATTGAAATGCTTTGACTAAATGTAGGGTCTGCTCACCTACGGTGAAGTTTTAGGATACTCCCACTTGAAAAACTGTCCACAGATACCGTGCTTCAAGATTTGTGTGACTTCAATTAAATTCTACCTATTATTTGAAAAGCTTCCCATTACAATGTTAATTAATGTTGCAGAAAGTGTTTAAAACTTTTGAAATCTGTCTGTCTGTAGCCAAGTGTTTACACATCCCATACAAAAACATAGCAGCTATATTCAGAGAATGTGAAAAACCTGAAAATTTAAATTGTTGGTTAAGACAAACCTAAATCAATCTAAACTGGTTGAATATTTGAATATCCATAAAAATCCATATTGCTACTTTCTAATGCCAAGAAAATATAAGAACTTCCTCCCAGAAGCCTAGACATTTAACACATTTTTTCTATTTTGACTTAAGAGGAAACTTGAATCTTCATTTCTCTAAGTGAAAAATTATATACTAACACTAAGAATGCCATATATAAGGCCACATCTTGATAAATATGTAATTTTTGGTTGTTTTATTTAAAACATTAGTCTAAGGCTTCTAAGAGTCAAGTTGCTAAAAATACAGCAGTGTTTCCAAGTGAAGGTTAATGTTGGAAAAACAAAACAACAACAAAAACCATAGTGTAAGACAGGAAAATAGAACGCCCCACTACAAAAATCCCTCAATTAATTAGCACAAAAACAACAGATAAATGTGCATTTAAATACATACAACTGGGGGAAACATTTACAGAGGACTATGATGCAAATGAAGTAAATGAGTAAAATTTAAAAAGCAGTTATCAATAAAGCAGAATCTCAACACTATATTCCCAAGTAAGAAATAAAAACAAACTTCCTCTTAAAATAACTTAAGATGAAGCTTAAAACACAAAATTGAAACCACCTTATAAAATACAGAAAGGTAATGACCATTCAGATAAGAAAACCAAAATGTTGAGAGCATTCCCAACAGAAAAGTCTGGTAGCATCTCATGTAAAACAGTATATATTTAGGTTATTGGCACATTTCAACATGTAAGAGAAAGAATCTTTACCCTTTCAACATTTTTTCCCTTTCACTATAAAACATTGTACAACAGTCATTAAAACCTGTTTATTTTTAGAACTGATTTTAAACTAGTAAAAACTAAAGCAACATTCTCCATAGGAGAACCAAATGAAAGTAATACTTAAGCTAGAAGTTATTCATGAACTCTATAAATTGTAGTGAACTGCTTAAGAATATTCTAGGTAAATGAGCCATTATATGATATGATCTAAGCTATGGTTAATAGTCACAAGTTTTCCAAATCTTTTTTATGAAAACTGACAAACACTACTGAATTTATGCTGAGATATTCATGCCATAACATATTTCCTTTAACCAAAAGCAGCATATTCAATTCAAAGTGCTGCTTCAGAAACAATCATTTGGGTGCTGAACCATTATTTATAATTTTACTAGTAGCTGGAAGGAATGTACCTGCATCACATTAGTAAATGATATGATTGAAAATCAACTTATCCACTAGTTATTGTGAATTAGAAAGTAAAAAGGTATCTCTTTTTTGGTGTTTGTAAAAGTTTCTCTTTGGATTGTTTTTACACATAAAAGAAAAGTTTTCAAATAACATTAGCTCATAAACAGAAGGATTGCAACAAATAAAACAAGGTTTGCAATTTTTTACCTTTTCTGCTATACATTCATATGTTATCAGGCAGAGGATTTCAAGAAATTACTCAGTTAATCCAAAAAGTTATCTTCTGACAATATTTAAAATAATGGACTAGCAGCAACCAATTCTAAGACACTCACTGTCTGCAACCAAAGCCACATAATGAAATTAGCCACACAGAATAGTGATATAAAAAAGGAGCAATTGTAAAGGGTCCTACTGATTAAAAAATAAAAAGGAAAAATGAAGGATTAAATTAGTACAAAATTCCCAGTTTCACTTCAAGTATAGTTAAGAATTTTTTAACTTCATTTTAAAATTGTTCAGAGATAATTTTATTCTCATGGACATTTTACTTACCTTTTAATCTTACTATTAACTAATTTCCCTTGTAATATATGTACGTCCAAACTTCTTCACATTAGGGCATTGTAATTAAAAACTATAAAAAAGCTAAGAAATGACAAAAACTTACACCTATACAGAAAACAAGAAAATAGATGTTGATACAACTTATATGTTATAAAAGCAACGTCATTTTCAACAAGATAAAATATTTTTTAAAAATTTCTAAGAGCAAATAGTTCTGGTAAACACCAATGATCTCATGCACAAATACTCCAATCATAAAATGTTTTCAAATAAAACTGGCGGTAACGCAGGTATTTGAAACATCTAATTTTGTGGTTAGCTTGACAGCAGACAAAACTGAAGAATGGTAGGCAAATCTCTAGAGGGGTTCTATAGTTGCATATTACATTTATCTAGGGCTCCTAAGTACTTTAAGCACTGTCCTAAATTTTAGCCATCTTTAAAAAACCAATGTGTACAATCAGAATACCTCTAAGTTGATCAAATCTTTACAAATGTACTGAAATAAAAGCCAGGCTTTGAGGACTTGTAGTACTAGCTACTCAGGAGGCTGAAATACGAGGATTGCATTTCAAAGCCAACCCAGGCAGAAGAGTCCATGAAACTCTCATTTCCAATTAACTAGTAAAAAGCTAAAGTGGAGCTGGGCCTCAAGTGGTAAAGCATCAGCCTTGAGCAGAAAAAGCTATGGGAATGCACCCTGGCCTGAGTTCAAGCCCCAGTACTGGAAAATCAAAACAAAAGTTAAAAGATTTATGTAGCCACTTCAGAATTACCTTTTTATAAAAATAGCTAATCAAATTTACATTCTACTTCTGCAAATTAACCCATGCTAACCAAGTGCTTTAAATGTAGGCCTTTTTGTAAGTCAGATTGGGGAGGGGGGGGGTGGAGAGGACAAAAAACAAAACAAAACAAAAAACCCCTTACTCTCACACAAATCAATAGGCTGCATGAATACAAACAGAGATCTTTGACTGTGGAAAGGTACTACTAAACCTCCCACTACTCACACTCCAGGAATAAACCCAATGAGAACACCGTGTCTTTTGAAAATCTATACCAACTGAAAATAAAACTAAGGTTCTTTTCACTCACATTTATCTGCTGCATGGCTGTATTTACATGGCCTATGGGCTCAAATCTAAACCATAAGCATATCAATAAAAAACAGCAAATCACTGAGCATCTAATCAGAATCACCAAAATCTCTCATTAATACTAGTAGTTCACAATTAAGTGTCTCAGTACATCTGTGTTGTGGTTACGCTGCACTACTGAAGCAAATACATGACTTTTTACTAAAATGTTATAACTTCAAATTTGGGAACTCTAACAACACATTAACTGGGTTGCTATGTCTGTCAAATTGTAGTTTTTACAAGTTTACATACCATTCAGCAAAGTCACAAGCTAACTAGGTAAAAACAGCTAGAAAAGCAGAATATAGAAATATTAAATACCCATGTAATCACCTATTCTAATATCAAAATCAAGGGCTAGAGACACTTAATTAGTTATGTTTAATTCACTGAACGCAAGATTAGTCGATGCATATCCAAAAAATGCTATTGCAATGCTTTTTTAAAGGACAGTAAAAATGTTGTCATAGTAACATTATCTTTAGATATTGCTGAACACAAGACTTTCCCTGAGGTGTAAACATCAAATAACTTGAACAGCTTTACACATCAGCCCCATTAAACAGTTTATTACAACACTACATCTATTGTAATCAAAGTGGTGCTGTTTACAGACATTATCATATGAACATTTTTAACAACAAACAACTACTATAAAAACAAGCATATACTTGACTTTTTCCAATTGCTTGCACATTATAATGGCCAAATGTATATAACCAGTAATAAAGTTGCAAAAGCTATTAACTTTTTAAATCACACAGGTTTCCTTCAAATAAAACAGTTAAGCAACATAAAAAATAAAGTAGAGCTACTGGTTACCATTTATGCAGATTTGCTTTATTCAGATCTATTCCTGTTCAGTTTATCCATGAATCCTTACAGGTTCAGTTCAATCACAAGAAGCAAACTGCTGGACAAGCGTCACTTTTCTCCCATGAAGACTGTTTTGTCTTGGAAGGTGTTCCTCTTCCTTCAGCTGTAATGTGTTAAAATTTGTGATGTAGATTTTGCTATTCCCCATAATACACAGAAAAAAGCTGGCTTTACTATACATACACAAATCGTGCACCCACTTCACTGTTAATGTATTCTAACACAAAATAAGAATTAAATGAAACAGTAGCTGCCTGTGTGGTGGAGAAATGCTCCCAATTTATATGATGATTCAAAATGAGACATTTTGATTTCATTCTTAAAAGTTTGCCTTTGAAATTTAGTTAGGCTATCATAATGACATTCATTATTTTGCAGAATATATTTAAAAAAAGAAATTTAGTGACAAGCAGAAACATAAACTTGGCAGCTACTGTTTCTGTGATGATGGAGACAGCCATAAGTCATTTTCTAAATTATGCATACTGCAAAAATAAATTTTAAAATGCCCAGATGACTTTTAATGTAGATATTTTTCATTAACCTTAACTCAATTAACAATTAAATGTTGAACTGAACATAAAGTGCATTAAGATTTACAAATTAACTGTATTTATTTAACAGTATACAGAACTTCTGCAATTGTTATAGATCAAATGATGCTCTTCAAGTTACAGAAGTTATAAATAACTCAGTATGGACATGTAAATAAATGACATCAACATACAAATCTTTAGACATAATACAAATTTGAGACATTTACTTTACTTTTACTACTCCATCTATATCAAAATACTTAATGCAGTATAAAAACCCAAACCAAGCTAAATGGAAATCTACACGATGAGTTTTATTGAAAACTCACATAAACAAAAGGGGAAAAACACAAACAAACAATAAAGTTGGTAAACTAAAATCTTAAAAATACACATATACACAAACTTCAGGTAGAGGTTAATAAATGTTTAATTTGGATTAGAGGACTGAAATTCCAGATATTTAAAATATAAATTTGAAGAAAGCATTTTAATAGTAATTTCAGAGCTAATAATACTTTTTGCTCTTCAATTAAGAATAATTTTTTTGCTACAGCTACAAATTTCCTTTTATATCCTTTTTCCTTTAAGATAGGTGGGAAGTATTGTAGAGCATTAGTACCCATTGCCTAGGAATAATGGGAAAACCACATTTTAATCATGGTCTTTCTCTTGTAAAGAATTTTTATTTTGTGTGGTTTTTTTTTTTTGTCGATCATGGGGCTTGAACTCTAGGCCTGGGTGCTTTCCCTGAGCTCTTCGGCTCAAGGCTGGAACTCTACCATTTAAGCCACAGTGCCACTTCCGGTATTCTGGTGGTTAATTGGAGATAAGAGTCTCACAGACTTTCGTGCCCTGGCTGGCTTTGAAACCACGATCCTCAAATTTCTGCCTTCTTGAGTAGTAGGATCATAGGCATGAGCCACCTGAGCCTGGCTTGTAAACAGTTTCTATGTGCAACCATTCATTAAACATTTATGTTATGATTAATATTTAGTGGAGTTATTTAAGAGAAAAAAATTGAAATGTCACCTTTTCAACTATTATGTTTCTGTTACTTGGGATGTGCTTTTGTCTGGTTTTGGTGCTGGTGCAGAAGATGAATCCAGGACCTAATGCCATGGAAACCAAGCACACAAACCAAGCACCCTACCAATGATCTACACTTTATAAACATTACCTGCAATGCAGGTAAAACATTAGACAAAATCAAAGCACTGTATTCCAATATGAAAACAGGATTAGTAAGAAATTCACAAGTAGTATCTGCAAAAGAATGCTATTTTACTAAATTTTTTGTTTTGCTGAAAGGGATACACAAAGAGTAGGTTATTAAGAGGGAAAACTTGAAATTATACTACACAAAAAAATTCATGGTAGCTGGGCGCTGGTGGCTCATGCCTATAATCCTAGCTATACCGTTGGAAGCCAGCCTGGGCAGGAAAGTCTGTGAGACTCTTATCTCCAATAAACTACTCAGACAAAAGCCATAAGTGGCCCTGTGGCTCAAGTGATAGAGCGCTTGCCTTGAGCACAAAGAGGCTCAGAAATAGTGCCCAAGCCCCCAGGGCAGAGCAAAAAAGAAAGAAAAAAAAAGAGCACATAATGCAAATATTATTACTCAATAGAAAAATTTTGCTTTTTATATAGAAAACCCTGTTCATGAAGTTTCAATACATATCTACATGCAATTGATGCACTCTCCCATCTTTGGTTTGATTATATTTTATAAATAGGTCTTGACTATAAAATGATCTTAATTTTTACCATACAGGCTTAGGAGGGTTTTATTTCTACATCTGAACAATTTACAATTGATCCACTTGGAAATACAAATTTTACAAAGCAAACTCTGAAGGCAATACAACCCATTTCCAATCACTGAATTCCATAATAGTCTCAAATGTCTAAGCAGATATCTACACAAAGATATAAAAAGTTTAAAATGACAAATACATTCAGTGCTCGTTTTCAGAATAGCATTTGATCAAATCTGTAATGTCAAAGCCACATATATACTTGCTTGAGAAACCCGTAAAAACACTTGCTAAATTAAGATGACAAATGAAATCTATAGCTCTTAAAGACTTAAAATGATCACTAAAGCAAAATTTCAATATTCAGAAAAATGTGTGCATTTTGCAATATGTGATCAAACATTAAAAACTCAAATCTAAGGAATTTTGTTATCATTTGTCTTGAGTAAAAATGTAGATATATATTTAAATATGTATCTGATAGGGCTTTCATAGTTTTGTAATATATAGAATTAAAAGAATTTTTAGAGATGTACTGATTTTAACTCAATGGAAGAAAATGTTCTTTCAGATGTGAAATTTTCTCCTCTTCTTACAAGAATGGCAATGAAGTGGGCCAGAGAAATGTCTACATGTTAAATTCTTAAAATTAAAATTTTCTTCTAGAACATTATTATACAAAAATACTCATTTATTATTGATGCTTACAAAAAGTTACTTGTTACTTTACATTTCGTATTTTCATCTTTCTACCTCTGGACATCATATACTTACCTCATTTCAACTAAAACATTTAATTGCTCAATAAAACATTCACAATCCTTGCTCTAGGCAATTAAAAAAATAGAAATAAGCTCATTACAAAGAAAAACCAGCATTGCCCAAAAAAGCTTTACAAAAATGGCCATTTCAAAATAAGCTGTTCATTATTCAGAATTCACTGCCAGTTAAAACACTCTACTACTGGAGGGCAAATTCATAAATGTGGATAGCATAAATGGAACCCTTAATCCCTTATTGAGTAGGCTTTAAAAAAAGATATAAAAAAAACCGCTGAGTATTTGTTAGAACATTATTCAAAACAACCTAATTTACAACCTAAAACAATGGTAGTAAATTTCACACTGAGATGAAACTTAAGAGCAAGGTGACTCACATTGGCAATAAACTTTTTAAAAAAACAGGGACCATTAAGTCATTTATGAACAAAATTGTATTCTTAAACCACAGTGAGCAAAACACACTATACATCCGTTCAAGGGATCACCTCCAACCTTCTCTTGTCACTTTAAGAGACTTGTCAATCCCTCAAAAAATAAAACTGTACTGTGAGACCAATTTTGCAAATACTACTAAAATCAAGAAAAAAGAGAACTAAAGATACGAAAAAGCTAGAATATTCAGATAACGCAGAGTATATAAGAAAACAAAGCAACACAGGGTTGGGAATATTAAGCAAATCTCAGATGATCTAAAAGTGGCAAAATAATTTTTAAATCTTATTACAGCCAATTATTCTTCCAGGCAGTCAAGAAAATTTAATTTTCACAAAAAAACCCTCAATATAATACTAATTCCTAGGGATATGAACTATCTTAACATACAAGAACAAATTTTTTATTCTGTGGCTTTTTCTAAATTAACAGAACAGCTGAATAAGCAACACAAAACATCCCCTGTTTACTAATAACAAAGTCAGATCATGGTATTTATGATAATCATGTAGTCAAAGAAAAGTATAGTTATTAATCCAATTCCCCATACAATATTCATTAAAAAAATAAATACATAAAACCTCATAAATTAGGGCAAGAGAAAAAAACCTGAACAAAGAGCATTTAAGACAAGTAACTTGCTTTCATTACTCTTCAGTACACAAAAACTGAGGGTTTTTTTTTTGGTCAGTCATGGGGCTTGAACTCTGGGCTTGGGCACTGTCCCCGAGCTCTTCAGCTCAAAGCGAGAGCTCTACCACTTGAGCCACAGCACCACTTCCAGTTTTCTGGTAGTTAATTGGAGATAAGAGTCTCACGGACTCTCCTGCCTGGGCTGGCTTTGAACTGCGATCCTAAGATCTCAGCCTCCTGAGTAGCTAGGATTACAGGTGTGAGCCACCAGCACATGGGAAAAAACAGTTTTTAATAGACATCCAAACAAGTAGTACCACTTGTTCCAAGAGGGAAAGTAAAAGAAAATTAAACTCTGACAGTAAAATTATTTCTATAAGAAATAAACAATCTTAAATCACGTTTATTTTGCTCAGAGTGGTCTGAGAATAGAGGCCAAAATTACAGAATATAAAGCACAATGTATTTACATATCAAAATTTACAATCCTGAAATTTTTGCATTGGAATTGTCTTTTGGAGTTCAAATATTGAATACTTTTAGAAAAAACTAATACATTTTTAAAATGAGAATGTAATTAGCATCATCCAACATTTCAAATACAAAAAATTTAAATGGGACATTAACAGCTTATCAACATCAAGTTTCCAGTTAAGAAGTTGCCCTTTTACCCATTCATCATCACTTTAAAAATGTATTACATTATTAATTTGTATACAAACTTACTATTTATTAGCATTCACTACAGCTTTTAAGTCACCCTTATGCCACTTAAGATTTACATGAAAGCTCAAAAGGACTCATTTTTTAAAAAGGACTCATGCTTTAAAACTTCTAAAGAGGTCAACAACAGACCTCATGATGGTAATGAAATTTGCAATTTACTTTGTTTGTTTAAAGAAAGTTTTTTACTCGAATATATTCAATCCCAATCCCCATTCTCTTTTTCATGTCTACTTCCACAACAAACACTATTTCATATAGAGCAAAGGCACAATAATCCAGTGTAACAGAATTTTTTGCACTGGAAAGTCTTAGGGAAAACTTTGCGTAGATGAAGGCACATAACAATATTACAATTCAATTTTGATTAATGTACAAACAAAAACATGGAAATTTTGGTGTAGTACATTGGTGGTTAAGAAGAATAAAAACAATAGTTTGCATGTTAGGAGTTTAGTTAATGTCTGAGTGTAATGAAACTCAAGTCATTAGGTATTTAGGTGTACTCATTACTGGGTAAATTCCAAGCATTTAAAATTAACAATGGATTTTTCAGAAGGAATGTACTTAGTTGACTGGGCTAGTTTACTAAAACTAGTAAAAACAAAACAAAACAACTGTCATTAACTTTGGGTATAAGTTGATCTAGAAGACCCCTTATAAATACATGTGATTTTGGAGATCATGCCTTCAGTAAGAGGCTTGTTGATAATAAATTACAAAGTCTGAAAAATGTATATAACTTGTAAAACCAGTATCTTTCTATAAATGAAGTAACTAATAAACATTTCAAGTAATAAGTTGGCCACAATCTACCTTAAACAATTGATGGACATGAATCTTTTCATAAGACAGGATCAGCTGAATTCAATTTGGAGTTAAAAGGCTACATTCTTAAATGTTTAAATTTACATAATACCACATCAACTTTTATATTCAAATGCTAACAATAATTTCAGTTATCTTGGTTCTTAAAAATGGAAGATGTTTTGTCTCAGGAATGTTTTGAGAATCATTTAAATTTTGTAATAAAACACATGAACTCTTTCAACAGTTTTGATAAATATTCAGAATACTGAATGTATCAAGATGCTGTCTATCCCAAAAGCAAGTAAAAGTAGTAAAACAGGCTTTCTTCCTTTAAAATGGTCTTAAAATTGTAACTAGCATAATAAATATAGGTTCTGTAAAAACAGGACTTAGATACTTGTTTACTGAAGCTTTAAAAAAAAATTATCTGATTTGCTCTGTGTCTGGTTAAAGTTAAAGAAATTGCTATTCTGTCACAAAATTGCATATACTTACACTTGAAAGTCAACAGCATGTTACTCAAGACAAGAGTAATTATTATAATAGCATTTTCTAAAATATGGTTGGAGATTTATGTATGTTTGGAAATAGTACTGACTAAATTACTTAAGAAAATGGTTCCAGTCAAGCACCTGTGACTCTTGCTTACAATCCTAGCAATTCAGGGGTCTGAGACCCACATTCAAAGCCAGTAAAGTTCCAGAGACTCATCCTCAATTAACCAGCAAAAAGCCAAAAGTAAAGCTGTGGCAAGTGGTAAAGTGCCAGCCTTAAGCAAAAACAACCAAATAAGAGCAAGGCCTGGAGTTCAAGCCCTTGTATCAGCAAAATCAAAGAAACATATGTAATCCCTCCCATATACTTCTTAAAGCTCTTAAATTTTTTTCCATTATAATTTAAATACTAAGAATTTTACTATGACTGTTTCCTGTGACTTACTAAAAACATTAACATAGACTTTTACCTAGAGGGATTTGTTTTATGCCTAATTTAAATGAAATTTGATATCAATATAGAAAAAAACCTATTTACATAATCCCATCTTTGCATCACATACATAGCCTTACAATACTCCTCTCCATTGTTCACATGAATGCTGTTTACAAATACTAAAAAAAATTACATGTGATAATGAAGCATAAACAGACAACTCTTCCTATTTTATGAAAAATGTACATGAGAAATATTTTTTAAATACAGAAAAAAAGACAATGATTATGATTAATGAATGAAACATCAAGTTATTTTAAGGTATTTCTAACCTAGGATGTATAGCATAACACAATTTAAAAGAGAAAAGCCCTTCCAATGCTGAAAAAAACACCTTTTGTATTTACTATTACACTGTTTTTCTTTAGAAGTTTGAGACAAAATTAGTTTAATAGAAACTAAATTTCTAACACTCCAAGCACCTAATATTTATATCTGAAATAATTCCCTGCAGTTTGTATTTTAAAATTTTAAGTCACATGCAAATTATATTACAAGAATCCCAATTTTAAGTTATTTAAAAGTATACAATGAGTCCTCTTGAATATTTTTCTTCCTTTAAGACCATTAGCTCTCTGAAACCTGAAAGTGGTAACTCAGATAAAATTTCAAAATTTTTACCTGTGATGGCTTACCTGTCATTTGTTTCATGTAATTCCAGAAGATTAATTCAGAACAAGTTACTTGGACCACTTAAAAGTAGGTATGTACTGTATAAACAACAGCCTTAGAATTACTGTTAATAATATATATACACACTAAATTTAATAGGAACAAGGAATACTCACCTTCTAACGATGACGATACTCTCGCTCTCGGTCCCGTTCTCGGTCACGATCTCGGTCACGATCTCGGTGTCTCTCTCGTTCTCTGCTTCTCTCTCTATAATAATCATCATGGCGATCTCTACTACGGGATTTATGACGCCGACTCTTTTCTCGTGATCTACTATGGTCCCTTTCTCTTGATCGTTCACGTCTTCTAAAAGAAATTACTGGATTAATGCTTTCCCTAGTTGGATTGTTCTAAAAATACAGTTGCTCTACCCTTATTAGTTATTTCACCCAACCACAATCCATAATTAGTCACCCAACCACAATCCATAACTAGTAATGGAAAAACCTAGAAATAAAAATACTGTCAGTTTTAAATTGCATGCCATTCTGCCATAATGAAATCTTACATAATCTTGCTCCACCCTGTCTGATACAATTTTCTGATACAATATTCTTTTGTCAGAGTATCTATATTGTATAGACTACCTGCTCTTGCTCAATTAACAGCTGTCTCAGTTGTAAGACTAGCTACAGTGGTATTGCAGTGCTCATGTTCAAGTAACCCTTATTAATTTTATTTCACTTTTTGTGCTAATTCTGGGGCTTAAACTCAGGGACTAGGTGCTGTCCCTTAGCTTTCTGCTAAAGGCTGGTGCACTTGAGCCTCAGCCTCATTTCCAGCTTTTATACTAATTAACTTAAGATCAGAGTTTCATTGACTTTAGCCTCCTAAGTAGCTAGGATTATATGAGCCAGTGGTATCTGGCAAATACCTGACATTTCATTTAGAGATTACAAACAAGTAGAAAGTCAAAATCATATTTTAAATCCCATAGTTTTTCATTCTTTTTGTTCACCAGTCATTATTTTTCTAATAGATATGAGACTGGAAAGTATTACCTTGATCCAGATCCATATGACTTGGATTCAATTCCATGAAGGCAATCTTGCAAAGAGCTGATAAGAACTTTGCAACGATCATCAGCAGATACTTTGGATTGTTTAATTAAAGAAATTGCTGTTACCAATGTCTCAATAGCACTCCCATAGTCACCTATAGAGGATAAGGTAAAGCAATTATTATATCCAATAAATTTTCTTTTCAAAAAGACCACCAAACAAATTGGAGATAAGAGTAATACAGCATTCTATCACTTATTTAACTAAATAGCTTACTTTAAAATAAGATAATGCCTTTTAGTGTTTCGAAATTTACCCAAGTTTTCCATGTTCAAAAAGCCTATACACTTTGGAAACTATTGAGAATAAAATGAGCTGCCTTAGGTCCCTGAATCATTAAATGCCAAAGTTACTATTTAAATTTAAACCTAATAATAGCAAAATTGGTGGTCTTTCCATTCCATTATAATACAGTTTCCTTCAATTTTTAAAACAAATGACAGATATTGATTTGGGAATATAAATGTTACAAATAAATCACTCATCTTTAAGACTACACTTAAGCTCTTGGGTCATCTTAATATAAATAAGAATACTGAAGATATATACAAACCAGCACTGGCATCAGAAACAGCTCTTGAAATAGCACTGCTTGAGATTGCCCTATTTCTATTCATGATTTCTTCAAACTCAGCTTCACTCAATGGTGTTCTTGCAGTATCCATTTCCCTACAAAAGAAAAATAATCTTTAAATTGTTAATCACCATATTTTCTATAAGTGACTATAATAAAGCAATAATGTACTAGCAGTATAGCATGAGTGTTAACTGAGACTAGAATTTTGTGACAAATGCTTGACAGTATAGTTTTCTAGACTGGCATACACTTTCCCCACAAAGAACAAGATCAAGAAAAATTCTCTTCTATTTTAGCAGACATAAAGTAGTAGCTAAAAACCCTATCTGGAGAGCAGAAGTGATATTTACATTCTCTACAACAGCCAGATTTTTTAGTCACTGTTCATATCTTTTACTGATCAAGTAGTTTCATTGCTGACATACCTTCCAGGGGGCCCATAATCACCCCTGTCATATGGTGGAGGTCGACCATATGGATCTGTTGGCGGTGGACCTCGGCTATCTGATGTAGGCATGCCACTATTAGTTGGTGGAGGAAAAAATGCCGGATTCACATGTGGAGCTGGTGGTGGGGCACCTGGAGGTGGTCCCGGAAGATGCGGAGGGGGAGCAAGTGTAAGGGGTGGCCCAAGTGGACCAGGGGGGCGAGGTGGGAAAGGACCAGGAGGTGGAGGTGGTCCCTGCTGTGGAGGTGGAGGACCAGGAGGAGGGCCGTAGCCTGGAACTGGAGGTGGAGGCCCAGGAGGAAGTGGACCCAGCGGAGGCTGCCCGAAAGGTTGTCCAGGAAAAAGAACTGGTGGTGGAGGGCGATCTCCTCGATTAGGAGGCCCAGCTAGAGGAGGCGGCAGAACCTGACCAGGAGGTGGAGGACCTGGAGGGCCAGGAGGGCCTGGTGGACCTAAGGGTGGCCGTGGTGGAGTTTGTCCAGCTACGAAGAGAAAGGAGAGGGAAGGGAGAGAAGGGGAGAAAAGAGAGAAAAGCACTTTAATAAGGTTATTTTAACTTTTATAGGCCAAGAACATACTTTTAAAGCGTAACTTATAGACCAAGATTCTTTTCTTTTAAGCTATTCTAACAACTACAAAAGGGAAGAATATTATTAAATTTAACTAGTTCACACTTTATACTTAAAAATTACTGAAACAAAAACTTCAATAAAAATATTATAATGCTTATATTTTCCATCTTTCAGCATATACACATTTCTTACAGTGAAATCACCCACCTTATAGTCTACTCTGATGCCAAGCTAGGAAGCGAAACAAGGGGAAATGGTCTTGAAAGGATTTTTTAAGAAGAAAATAAGACGAATATAAGTATTCTATATATAAGTCAAGCAAGTTTGGAGAAAAATAAAGACCTTTTAGGCCAAAAATGGGTATTTCCTCTATGCTGTGCCCCATATGCCATGGAATCCTAGTTTCCAGGAACAAAGGCCGAGTTCCTTTAACAAGATGCTTGATCAAATTTCCTGGATTCCAAAAATAGCATAACAAGGAGAGTAAGTCACATTAATAATGCATTACTTGGAAAAAAAAAAAAGAGAGAAAAGGAAAAGAGAAATTAGGTAGACACGTTTTACCCATGGTAATTTAATAAAAGTTTTACCTGGAAAAGGTGGGGGTGGCCCTCCTGGTCCTGCTGGCCCAGGAAATCTGTCCCCACCAGGAACAGCCCCTGGAAAACGGCCCCGTCCTCTACCACCTTGTGGAAATGCTGCACGTGAACTGCCTCCTGGAGGACCAGCTTTACCTTCCCCAGACATTTGTCCTGATTGTGTAGCTGCAAACATCCAAATACTCATAAATAGCACTTATTAAAACAGTTTGCTGAAATGTAACCACTGCTACCAGAAACAATACAATTTCAACATTTATTTATACTATCATAGTAACCTGCAGATACTTAAGACCTGTGCAAACTACTTGAAAAGCTTTGGTTAGGGAAAATGTACATCTATTTAAACCTTCTTTTGATGTATTGAAGTATCCAGATTTTAATGTATTTCCACTGAGTAAGTTACTTCCAAAATACTAATATTCTACAGCAGCCAAGACCAAAATTAAAATTAATTTCAGTAGCATAGATCATTTAAATATAGTCTTTTAATTAAGTCTTAAGTACTCAAACATTAAAAGACAACTACTTGAATTTCAGTTAATTACATGCTTTAATTTTAACCCTTGGAATGTCAAAACTTGTGTGTAAGGACAAATCTTTTCTACATTCACTTTACCAAGTATTGAAAGGTCTTGGTGCCAAGAATAAAAGCCAATGAACAGTTTTCTGGTTATCAATGGCATCTCCCCCACGATAACACATATCCACAAAGTTTCCTTTTAATCTAAGGATTAGAATGTAGTGTGCTTCTTTCTCTATGATGGAAATGATAGAACAGGAATGGCAGTACTATAGAACTTGAACACTGCAGAATACACAGCATTAGGATGTGACATCTAAACAAATACGGAAGGAGGTTTCCAGCCTAGTTATAACCAGAAATTAAATCAAATTCATCCAGTGAACTAGATAATAAAGACAATTTCCTTAGTATAATACTTTACAAATGGTATTAACACACTGGTTGAAATACACATCTTTTTAAAAAGGTCCTTGAGGGATTGCTTACTTTTCCTGGACTGCATTTCAAATTGACTCAGGAACTGTTTATTGCATGGAGTTACAACAGGATTCTGACCATGAAGTTCTCTTTTAGGTAACAGATCCATTAACTTTTTTGAAGATGCTTCAGACCCAACACCAACAAGGGCAAATCTAAAAGGGTTTTAAGGGGTGGAGGAAGAAAGTGAGGAGGGATTAATAGTTTTAGTTTTTTTAAAAAACTCAATAAAACCTGCATTTACTTTTATCTTAAAAAAAAAAAACCGCTAAGAATACTGCATAAAACTATACAAAAGTTTATGCTTTCAGGTCTATATTTATAACATGTAAACCATTACCAATCAATCCAATCAATTTCAGAAGATTTTCATCATCCCAAAAAAGGAACTCTATACACTACATATTTGTCACACTACCACACTCCTGTCACACTGCCATTACTTCCTATCCTTATATCCCAGGAAACCACATATCCATTTACTGCTCTATATACCTGTCTATTCTGGAATTTTACATAATATGCAGTCCATAACCAACTCTTTCACTTAAAAAATATTTTCAAAGTCCATCCATGTTGCAATAGGTATCATATGTATCACTTTACTTTTATGACTAATATTCAATTATAGACATATGGCATTAAAACATTTATCAATTCATGGGACTTATAAAAATCATAGATTTGGCTCCTTTCAACTCCATTAGCCACCAGGGACATATAAATAAAAACCATGAGAAGATACCTTTGTACACTCACCATAATTAAGAGGATGTAATTAAGAGGATGTAATTAAGAGGATAATAAGTGCTGGTGAGTAACATGGAGGAACTAGAACTCTTATGTATTGATAATGGCATGTAAAATGGTGTAGTCACCTTGGTAAAGAATCTGGCAACTCCTAAAATGTTGGATACTATGTAATCCAGCAAATTCACTCCTAAGTATATACAAGGCAGAATTAAAAGTACACATTAACACAAAACCAGAACACAAATACTCTTAAGAACTTATTTTTTCATGCTAGTCTTAGGGCTTGAACTCAAGGCCTGAACACTGTCCTTGAGCTTTTCTGCTTGGAGCTAGTGCTCTACCACTTGAACCACAACTTCACTTCCAGCTTTTTTTGGTATTTAACTAGCGATAAGATTGTCACAAATTTTCCTGCTTGAGCTGGCTTCAAACCATGATCCTCAGATCTCAGCCTCTCAAGTAGCTACATTGATAGGTGTGAGCCACTGGTGCCTAGCAAGAACTTGTTCATTAATAGTCAAAAGTAGAAACTGCCAGGCACTTATGGCTTTCCAATTAACTGCCCCCCAAAAGCCAGAGAAGTAGAGCTGTGGTAGGTGGTACAGTGCTAGCTTTGAGCAAAACAGTTCAGGGAGAATGCCCAGACCCTGAGTACAAGCTCCAGGATAGGCACAAGAAAAAAGGAAAAAAAGAAGAAACCACTCAAATGTTTATAAGCTAATAATGAAGTTTCTTTTACAATTCTGTATTCATATAAGAGGCTATTATTCAACTATATAAAAAAATGCTAATGCCTACCACAACACAGTTAAGCCTTGCGAATGTTTAGCAAAGTGAAAAGAGCCTAACACACAGCACTACATCTTACATGGTTTCATTTACATGAAAAATACATAGTAAGCAAACAGAGAGTTTGTAAGTGGTTGGGTTCAAGAGATGATGAAATATCCTGAAACTAGACAGTTAAGATTGCTGCTCAATTTTTATGCTAAAAAAAAAAATCACTGAATTACAAACTTTAAGTAGATCAATTTCCTAATATATGAATTATATCTCAATAAAGGATTTAAAACTGAATGATTACCAATTTATATAACTATTAAGGAATTCTACATTATTGGGGAGGGGACTTTTAGAATCTCAAAACCCTTTTCTATTTTCAACATAAGTCTTTACTAAATCCTATCAACACATTCTATTTGATCAAAGTAAGAATTATCTTGGGGAGGGTAACTTTTAGAAACCATTCAATTGGAACTGGCAGTATAGATCGATAGTACAGTATATCCTTAGTTATCTCCGGGATTTGTGTATGATCCCCAGCACACACAAAAACAAAACACAAAAAAATGCAAAAAATCTTAATGCATGTAACAATTATTCATTAGGCATCATGTCCTATTATACTAGGTACTATAATAGGGTTGTAGTAGAACCAACAGCAAACAAAACCTCTGCTCTTGTGGTACTTACAATCTAGTGGGAGATGAAGACAACGAACAAGCAAACAAAAACTAAACTATAAAAATCAGTATTCTTTATTATTCTGTATCTACTATTTCATCCTTTTGGGGCATAGTGCTGGAGTTTGAACTCAGGGGCTCTATCATGCGAACTACTTACTCTCAAGCTCTTTATGCTTTAATTAGATCTCAAGGTTTTGCATACAGGATCAGCTTTGACCCACAATCTTCCTGCATACACTTTCCCATAGCCTGATCCTAACTGTGCTATATTATATCTAGCCTGTTGGTTTAGATTTTTGCCTGGGCAGGAATCTAACTGTGATCTTCTTGATCTCTACCCCCCCAAGTAGAGGGGATCATAGGTGTGTGCTACTACATTCAGCTAGTAATTTTTTCTTTAAAAAATTTAAAAAAGTTTCTGCTGAAATAGGCAAATGTAGAAACAACTATAATTTTCAAAATTATGAAAGATTAAGATATACTTTAGGAAAACAGAAGTATATTCAGTAAAATACGATCACTGACAGATGTTCAGATTATGCCAGTTCATTTTCTTAATTTTGGGCATCTGTATTTTATTATTATTCTCAGAATGATTGCATTTGTACGGCTTAGTAATTAAGAAAATAAAGCAAAACATCCAGGGTACTTACATTATTTTCTAGTTGCCCATCATCCCCAATCTGTTAATCACAGGGAAAATATTCACAACACTGTCATTTCAATCACAATTGGAGAAAATACAGGAAAATTATAAAGGTAGCCTAGTCAACCCATACCTACATACTGGCCTTAGTTGATAAATAACAAGGTAAACAAGTGGAAGAACGAACCAGTTATATGTGCTATTCATGTGAAGTTAGTATGAACCTTATAAGAAATAGCTACTAACTTGGAAAACATGAAACAAAACTCTTACCCCTTTGACTGGCCATTTGCTCGATTTTCAAAAAATTTTATCTCCAAGATATCATTTACTCCCAAAGAATGAACTGCTTCCGTTAAGTCTTCATCGGTTGTCCACTGTAAGATATTTTCCCCTTATTAACCATTAAAACATATCCAGGATTTCCTTTTTGTTTTTAAAAATAAATGAGAAAATGCTCAGTGTGAATCTAAGAATGGTTTTTGTCAGCCTCAGTTTTTTTCCTTCATTTTTTAAAGCACTAAAGCACTTGAGAACTTCATTCTCAGTTTTTTGTTTGCGTTTTTGTGCTGGTCTTAAGGCTTGAACTCGGGACCCGGGCAAAGTCCCTGAGCCTGTTTGCTCAAAGCTAGTGCTCTACCACTTGAGCCACAATTTCCACATCTGGCTTTTTTTTGGGCAGTTAATTGGAAGTCAGAGTCTCACACTTTCCTGCCCCAGCTGGCTTTTAACTGTGATCCTTAGGTCTCAGCCTCTTGAGTAGCTGGGATTACAGGTGTGAGCCACTGGTAAGTTTTGAAAATTATAAAATTCATACCCATGAAGGTAAGATAGTTGTTGTTGTCTGTTTTTTTTTTTTTATTTCCAACAGTTTCTCATTTCTTCCAGCTTTAAATGCTACAATTTTAAATTTTCAAACTGATCTCACATTTCTTCCTTTAAGGAAAAATATTTTGCAAAATAAGTTTTGCCTTATGTTTGAATATAAAATGGAGAGAAAAAAAGCCCTCATATATAGGGCACAACTACTATATAAGTTATATCAACTATTTTAACTGTTGTTTAAGTCCTAATACATCCTAATTTTACATATAATACAGTAGAGGAATAAACAGCTTGCCCAAAGTGACAAGATGGAGTTAATATTCAAAATCTGGCTTAGTAATTACACTCATAACTATACTGTTATTATTCCCTATATTAAAAAGACTGCTCAGATTGAGTGACTGAAGATGGATTACTTATAGCAATTGATCTTTGAATGTTAATAAGAAAAGTAGAAGAGCCCCAAGTTTTAGTTTGATTTTTTAAATATGTAACTTAAAACTGTCAAGTATATGTGATATACTACAGGACTGTCATATTTCAGGTTTAAGGTTGATGTAAAACTAATATAGTAGACATGCAGTTAATGACAATTCTCAGCTAACCCGTCTCAAGAACATCCCAAATTAAAATACTAAATACATACAGCAGTTTCTGTACATTCAATTTCAAATTTAAAACAGAAATGAAATCTTGAATATGAACTAGAAAATGAGCAGTATTTTAAACCAGGAGTTTCCTTTTACACATTTGAATTCTAGTTTGAGACTCCATGAAAACATTTTCTTGGTAAAATTGAAACTCTTGCGAGTGAGAAAGAAGTAATGTAAAAACTATTATTAAAGATAATATAAAACATTAAAAATTCAAAACTAGAAAGGGAATTAATGGCCTCTTTAAAAGCATTCATTTTTACCTTTCTCTATGCATAAGCTAACAACAAAACCATTGTAACTGCAAATTTTAAGTTCAGAACAGTAAACAAAAACGCTAATTACTGAAGAAGTTAAAAATCAATTGCCAATGATTTAATTCACGTTAACTTACCCATGTTAGATTTCCAATATATAACGCAATTCTCTTTCCGGTATAAGTATAGACGACATTTGGAGCTGCTCCTTTGCCCACATCATCACCAACTGTTGGTGGGAGGGTATCCATGTAATCACGATCTTCTGGGGCATCTCCATTATTTGCCGATGGAGAGATGACATCATCATACAAATCTATCTGATCATGCCCACCGTATTCTGCTTCCTAAGATACAGAAACAGTACTCTAAATTACAAAAGTCAGAATATAACTGAACAGACTTGAATACAAATACATTCAAAATTTTACTTTAAAAATCTGATGGAAGAAATGAAAAAGGCCCGAAGATCTCCTTGTAAGTCTTTCTTCACTTTATACAACATATACGTATTCTCAAATGGGAACTTAAAAACTTTCCTTGGATGCAAATATTTTTTAGTAAAAGTAGTACTATATGAATGCAATTATGTAAGTTTTAAAAGAGTATATTTTTTAAGACTGTCACAAATGGGTGCTAGTGGCTAGCACCTGTTACCCTAGCTACTCAGGAAGATGAGCTCTGATATTCATGGTTCAGCCCAGGCAGAAAATTCAGACACTTATCTCCAACTATTGAACAAAAAAAGCCAGAAGTGGAAGTGTGGCTCAAATGGTAGACAGCTTTAAGAGAAAAAGCCAAGAGGGAACATGAGGCCCTGAGGCTCAAGGTCCAGTATCTGCGCACATACACACATGAGACAAAAACAGAGCCGTTACAAGTCCTTAATGACCACAGAAAAACAGAATTATTATTTTCTGTGGCATTCAGATCTTATTTGTCAACCCTGAGAAAGCTACTAGCTTAGAAATAGTAAGCCGAGCCACAGGAAAGAAAGGAAGAAATGTGGGTATGGATATGATACACAATGTCATAATATTTAGGGAAAGAGCAACAATACAGCAAGTATAGATTAAACTATGCAAATTACTATCTTGCAATAATTTTATTATGCTCAGGGAACAAAGTGCTAATGCTTACCTGACATCTCACATATCTAACCAAGTAAATTAGCAAGCAAAGAGATTTAAAAAATATGGATCAGTTAAATGTTGCCACTGTCACCAGCAGTCTGAAAGCCTTGCTAGTGGATGTCACTTACATGCCTTAATAACAATAAGGAAGAAAAATCCAAGTGAAGGTTTCAATTTGTAAATAAGCACAAAAGAAATGCAATGAAGGTATCAACATAATACTCAATATCACTCAATTGTCTTTGGTAACAAATGCTCAGCCACAAGCTTTACTAAGCCTGTAGCAGAGGAAAGCTCCATTTTTATCTGCTTCCCTTTCCAAGCTTAAGCACTTAAATCAGTGTGAACTACTTTATCCTTATGAGAACTCACATGCTCTCCATATGTAACTCTGTCATCAATAAATGGCATAAGAGCTAATAGTTTTTTAGGATGACCTTTCCTAGAGAAAGCATTTGTTATATGATGGTAAATCTGTGTTCCCAAAGAGCCCAAACGAGAAGTTTTTAAAAGAAAAAAAATCTAAATGGGGAAATATCATTTATACATGTAGCCAAAGAAACTTTTAATATCATCTTATGGTTATTTTGTGAATATCAAATGATCTACTTATTAATCACATTAACAGAATCTTTACATATCAATTTTATTACAAGGCAGAATGTCTCTAATTAAGGAATTCATGTCTCCAATTAATGTCATTAAGGAACCCAATGTATCAAGGTTAAGTTAAACAAAACTATCTTTAGCAACAGGTAAAAACTAAGATTCCAAGCCACTGAGTGCCATCAATTCTATTTTGTTGTATAATACCAAAATAATCTCCAAGAAACAAGTTACAAAGTATGGTACTCAAATTGCAGTGACAGTAAGTTAGAAAAAAGGACAGTAAATTTGGTTAGAAGTTTCAGTTTAGCTGAAGCGTCAAGTGATGCAATTCCAACTCCATACTCTTAAGGTACAAGAGTAAGGGGTTGGGACACTTCAGTCTGTCTTGCAATGTGGGTCTGTACATAAGGTAGAATTATTGCTATTCAACAGGTTATGTGTTTGCATTTTCCTCAACAGAAATTAGAGTAAAAAAGAACACATGGGTTAGAGTTAGGAATGTGGCAGAGTGCTTGAGTGCTTGGTTCACATGCACGAAGCTCTGGGCTCGATCCCATATACAAAAGAAAAGGCTGGAAGTGGTGTTGTGGCTCAAGTGATTCGTAGAATGATAGCCTTGAGCAAAAACAGCTAAAGGACAGTGCCCAGGCCCAGAGTTCAAGACCCATGACTGGCAAAAAAAAAAGAAAAAAGAAAAGAAAGTTCACATGGGTTAAATAATAAGACTAAAAGTAAGTACTTAAATTCATACTTTCACTTAACACAGAAAGGTTGATATATTTATTAGTTTTAAATGTATAAAAATATTTATATAAGGGTTGGGAAGGTAGCTCAGTGGTAGAGCGCTTGCCTTGCATGCATGAGGCCCCGGGTTTGATTCCTCAGCAATACATAAGCAGAAAAAGACAGAAGTGGCACTGTGGCTAAAGTGGTAGAGTGCTAGCCTTGAGCTGAAGAGCTGAGGGACAGCACACATGACCAGAGTTCAGGCCCCACGACTGGCAAAAAAAAAATTATGTAAGTAGCATTAATTGCAGCTACACTGACCTGGTGCATTACCATCACTATATTATTTTTTTGCTGGTCTTGGGGCTTGAACTTAGAACCTTAGTGCTGTCCTTGGGCTTCTTTTCAAGGACAGCACTAATGCCCTCTATCTACCATTTGAGCCACAGCTCTACTTCTGGCTTTTCTAGTAGGATATGTTTTTTGTTTTTTTTCCAGGGCTGAGAACCGAACCCAGGGCCTTACGTGCGCCAGGCGGGCGCCCTTCCACTGGGCTAAACCCCCAGCCCCTCTAGTAGGATATTGGAGATATGAATCCCACAAACTTTCCCTACCTGGGTTACCTTCAAACTTCAATTCTCAGATCTCAGCCTCTTGAGTAGATAGGATTACAGGCATGAGTCACCAGCACACCAGCTACAATCTATTTTTTTGTTGTTACTTCTTGTCGGTCCAGCAGCTTGAACTCAGGGCCTGGGCACTGTCCCAGACTCTTTTGTTCAAGGATAGCACTCTATCACTTTGAGCCACAGCACCACTTCTATACAATCACTATTTTTGCTAAGTTCACAAATACTTAAGTTGGCACCAAACCATTTTCCACATCAATATGATCCTACCAACACTTAAATTAGCCATTTTTTTCCCTCGCAGTTAAACTGCCATACTGCTTAAAGTGTGATGCTAAATGAGATCTTGGAACTGTTCCCAAGGCCACAGCCTATATGTATTCGTAGCTCCACTTGAACTTGGGACTTGTTAGAAAGACATTGATGAAATCTGCCACCCTTAAATTGTAACTCAAATGAATACTCTTTCCTTCCCATACCTATCTTCCATATTTCAAATATAAAGAACACATTCAACTTTGTTCCTACTTTAATCAAATGAGAAATGTGGATATTCTGAAATTATGCAAGATGTCTACTATAGTTCACATACAAAGAAATTAAGTGGGGGAGGAGGGTAATGTGGCTAGCTGCTCAAGAGGCTGTAATCAGGAGGATCATGGTTCAAGGCCAGGCAGGGCATAAAGTTCAAAAGACCCCTTTCTCAACTAAGAGCTGGGCATAACCAGGTATAGTAGTGGTACCTGTCATTCCAGCTACAAGAAATGTAAAATAGAACTGCAGACATGGCCTAGGCAAAAAATAATATCCAACCCCAAAATAACCAGTGCCAAAAAGGGCTGATGGCATGGCTCAGTGGTAGAGAACCTACCTGACAAGTGGGAAATCATGAGTTCAAATGTAGTACAAAGAAAAAAAAGCGAGTTCTGAAATAGAGACTTCTACTTTGTGAAAGAGAAAGTGTCAGATTCTATTACCTGTTAAAGATCTTTTCAAATATTTTCATATCTCCTAATTATTTTACATACCAAATGTTGCCTGGATTAACTGATTTTTCATAGGGGCTAGCTAGTTAATAAAGCTGTACATCCAACTTTCAGTAATAGCTCTTAGGTTTTTTGGACATTTATTTTTCATTCCCGATAATGCCTGTAATCCTAAGGAAGCTAAGAGAGGCTGAGATCTGAGGATCGTGGTTCAAAGCCAGCCCAGGCAAGAAAGCCAGAGAGCCTCTTAACTCCAATAAACCACCAGAAAACTGAAGTGGTGCTGTGGCTCAAGTGATAAGAGGGCCTGCTAGCCTTGAGCTGAAGAGCTGAGGTCTAGTGCCCAGGCCCAGAGTTCAAGCCCCACGACCAACAGCAACAAAAAAAGTATGCACTGGAGGCACGGCTCAAAGAGTACCTGGCTGACAAGTTTGAGTCTGAGCTCAACCCACAGTATGGTGGCTCCCTCTCTCCCCTCAACATATTATATTATACTATATTATACATATATACATATACTCAGCCCAATGTGGTTGTACACACCTGCAATCTCAGTATTTAGGTGGCTCAAACAGGAAGGGCTCCAGTTCAAGTTCAAAGCAAGACCTATCTCAAGGAAACCAAGGTGGGTGAAGAGTCCTCAAGATTTAACACAAGACTGTTTTGTACATGAAATATGAATGAATGCCTGCTGCCAAGAGAAAGAACTTGCAAATAAGATGGAAAGTAAAATGACCAATATCTTAAGAACAATGTTTCTAAATTTTCATTAGCACCATCTCCCTCCCTCCAAGTTGTTAGGTATTCCCTAATTAACCGCTTAAAAATTTTTTAACTATCACTGATATATATGCTGCATACCATTATTGGGATTACCTTGATAGAACTATCCCAATTAACTACCAAAAAAAAAAAAAAAGGAATTAGAGCTGTGTGGTTGAAGCAGTAGGGCACCAGTCTTAAGTGAAAAGTCAAGAGAGCTCAAGGCCTAAGTTTAAGCCCCAATACCCCCCCCCCAAAAAAATCCAACAGCAGCTGACTGTCAGTAGTAGTCATCCCATCCTACTTGAGAATACCAAAATCTGCAGATGCTTAAGTCTCTTACATAAAATTTGCATATAAACTACATAGATCTTATATTTTAAATCATCTCTGAATTACTTAAATATCTAATAAAACATTAGTGTTATGTAATCATGTTTAGAATAACAATGTCTATACACATTTAACACAAGCTGCAGTTTTTTCCAAATTATTTCAGATCTGACAGAATCCATGGATATGGATTTTTTTCAGAAAAACACTTTCTGAGTATGTTTTGAGTATATTTTAGAATGTTTGTAATCCACGAAAACTCAATGCTACAGAAGCCAACTTGCTATTTAAAAAATATGCCACATATACCAAAATGCACAATTCATAGGTGGCTAAATTAACTATGCTCATAAATGACAAACCTGCATTAAGAAGAGTTCTAGTTTCTGTATGCACTTTTACCCATGTTTCTGAATCAACCTCTACCTACCTAATTTTGGACACGATACACTCACCTTAAAACCATGTTCTAATAAATAAAATTTCACTGGTATATATCTAATAAACATATAGAGAATATGTATTCTCCATGACTAGCTAAACAATTGGCTAGAGGAAACAAACACATAGTAACTGAAAAGCAAAGTGTGACTCACGAAATTGATTTACAAGGACATGTAAGTGAGTTGTTTTTCCCAGTCACTAAATATATACTTTTATTTTAAAATTGAATAGTCAAGGCAAGGTGCTGGTGGCTCACACCTATAATCCTAGCTACTCAGGAGGCTTAGATCTGAGGACAGCAGTTTGAAGCCAGCCAAAGCAGAAAGGCCATGAGACTCTTTTTCTCCAATAAACTACTCAGAAAAGACCAGAAGTGGTTCTCTGGCTCAAGTAGTAGCCCAGTCTTGAACAAAAAGAAGCTCATTGGAGTTAAAGCCCCAGGACTGGCACAAAAGGAAAAAATAGAAGAGTTGGGGGTTCAAATCACTAACTCAGTTCTGCAGTATCCTAGCAGACTGTAAACTAAATTCTATATTAAGAGTTCTGACTGTCTAAAAAATAAAATATACACTGCTTCAATGCACAAGGTATAAATAGAGCAACACTAATCTCAAATCCAAAGCTTTGAATGTCAATGCGATACTCAAAAATTTTGGGGTTTGGAGCATTTCTGGTTTCAGATTTAGGGATATTCCACTGCTAAGTCTATTCAAATGTTCCAAAATCTGAAAAACTCCCCAATTCCCCCCCAACACCAGTCCCAATAACTTTGTCTGAAGAATATGCAGCTTGTAGATATTCCTGAAAATAAGATTTTTTTGTTCCCCTTTCCCCAATCCCATGCATAAATGAAAATTCTATGGGTAAAGATACATATAGTAGTGGCTTCCATAATACAGGACCTATCAAGTACATTTAAATTGTGTATGTGAATCTCACTGTCACCCAGTATAGTATACTTCAAGGGTGAGACCATCTCAATTGTATATTACCTGTGTATTTTGAACAACTGGATATTTTAAGTTAATTGACAACTGTACTTGAATACAAATCCAAATTCTAAGTACACTAGAGTGAGACATAACTACTTTCTGCTCAACTCCAAATTCAAGTAATGTGGAAGGTAATAAGTAGTTCAAATTTTCCTTCCATTAAAGCAATGACCGAGTTTGGTGGCATCCTGAAATCTTTCAAAACTAAATAGCACGCATATGATCAATCATGTGTTTCTCTCCCCTTCATGTTCCATTCTTAAAACTCAGTTAGTAAAGATAACATAATAGTAACTTATACTCATCATACCCCAAATTAAACTATACTAAGATTGCTGAATGTCTCTTTCTGAGATGTTTATTCTGTACTTTACCAAAATACAAAAGATTCATATAACCATTGTAAATATGAAAATGAGAGGAAGAAAAACATTGAGAAAGACCGTGTCTTGTTCTTTTCTTTTTTATTGACATAATTGTACATATTGATGGGGTACAGTGTACAAATTCAATACATGTACAAAATATGTAATGATCAAATCAGACAATTAGTATTTCCATTTTTTTTCATTTCTGTTTAATCTTCAATTTCCTTCTAGTTCTCCATAAAATGTATACTAAGGTCATCATAAACTAATCACCATCCTTTGAACACTAGAAATTATTCCTAACTGTAGCTAAATTCACTATCCAACCTTCCTCCCCTTCACACCCTCTACTAATCACTATTCTGTTCTCTTGAATTACACTATGGCATCACTTACGTGCCATCACTTAAGTCTTTTAGGATATTTAGCACACACAAGTGAATATCTCTCCATCTAGCCACTGCCTGAAAACTTATGTTCTACATCAGGCAACTCTTTCTGATTACTTGAATGAAACCTTGAAACAACTATGGTGTTTTTACCCCACGTGGAATTTTTACAATTCTCTCTGTTTTGGTTTACATTCTCAGTTCTCATGGCCTTTGGGAATCTTCCAGCTACAAGTCATCAGACCTAAAACCTGATCTCAAACGAAAGTCTTTCAGAAAATCTTGCCTGTCCAATATTTGTCTTCATCAACTATATTAAATAAGTAGCTTTATTCTACTGTGGCTGCTACCATGTCTATTTGTTATTTTCTTGTTTATATATTTTTATAGTCACCGATGAATGATTACTGAATGGAATCAAGATTGGGAAAAA